AGTTATTTTCTTGTAAATTGCATTATAAAGTGGTTAAATCGCTCAATTTCCCTTAAGAATATTAGTCCTTTTCAAAATACACCTAAGCAATCACTAAGCAATCAATAAATAAATAAAATATCACTTGAATTTAAACCAAATTCACATGCAACGATATGTTTCAATCTTCGTGAGAGTAGTCAATGCTTAGAAATGAGGACCATCGGCCAACACATTGTCGAAAACCACATCTATAAGTAAAGTGTCACCATATATATATATATATATATATATATATATATATATATATATATATATATATATATATATATATATATATATATATATATATATATATATATAATTTGTGAAAATGCGAAAATAAGAAAAATGAATGATATTGTATCACCTCAATATTATATTTTGGAAAATAATTCATCCAAATTTTGAAATACATGATGATAATCAATGATAAATGATAAATTATTTTATATTAGCAAATTATGATTTTTAACATTTTTATTATGAAAACATGAACTTAAAAATGATTAAGGATGTGTAAAAATAATAATAATTATTAAAACCGTCTTTAAATCTATATTATCATAACACCATCCCATATAAACTTACGATCTTTAATTTATTTATAATATTTTTTTTATATGGCTATATTATTTAATTATCTATTTTGTGCATGTATCCCTATTGATTGTAGATCAATCATTTTAGTTATCTAAAAAAATAATTAATAAATTGAGAAAGAGAACCAATGAATTTTTTAAATACATATGATTTTGACACAAAATTTGATACGCATATTATATATAAATATGAATATATGAGAGATTTGCAAAAAAACAAATAAACTGTATGCATGTATATACTTACATTTTTTACATATGCATATGCAAAAACAAATATACATATGCATTAAAAATACATTTTTTTTAATTCAACGAATAAATAGTATATATTTTCAAATATAATATTTTTTTTTCAGAAAATTGTATTATTGATATATGTTCATAATTTTTATTTATTTATATATGCACATTTAAAAAATATACATACGCACATGCACATAATTTTTTTTGCAAATCTTTTAGATACGGATATGTACATGGACATTAAATAAAAAGTTGATTGGTTTATTCCCTTAAATATGGTTCATCATTAAACTTTTTTCTCTCTCTGTCCCTTGTCTCTGTGTCTCTATCTAGTGGTGAAAAAGATCGGGTGAATGTTCACTGCAGACCATCACGATCCACCTAAGCTCGGCATAGTGTGCAATAAAACCGCACTCCTCGGTCTAAAATCACCTATCAAAGACATATGTAATGATAGGTAATAACGTACTTTATTTTCAAACTAAGATTTAACATGTGTTTAAACTTTTTGGGTGTTGTTGATAATTTAGCATTTTAATAAATATTTAGATGTCTATTTTTAGTTTAGTTTTCTAATTTAATCAACTAAAGAAATAATACCGTATAAACATATAAAACAAAATAATATGTTAGAATCAAACATGCATATGACCTTTAAAGAGTGCAACACATTAGTAGCAAACAATCTTATCCTATATCCTATGTCGACAAGTTTTAGATATTTCTGAACCAATTTCAAGTTTGTCCTTAACGACTGGACATATGTGTGTTTTCATTATCTTAGAATTTGGAATAGAAAGGGCCAAAGGGGTTTCATATATAATAATTAAAATTTATTTAAAACTTATAGAATTCCATTTTATTAGTATATTCACATGAATATAACAATAACAATGAATCAATGATTAATATTATATCATCTGTTTGAGTTGTTGAATCTCTTATGAACTTGACTATTGTTACAATGACCGAGGTCTCGATCGTTAAAGAAGGAATGGGAGTCAAGAGGCAAAGACCTAAGAGTGAAAATATTGGGGTCCTGACCCGTTTGCAATTTAAGGGTAGAAATCAAATACCTTATAAATTTACAATCCAAAATATCTATTGATCACCTCCACATTCCAGAATATAGATTTTGATGTAATTGTAAGTTTCATTATATAATTAATAAACTTTTTTTTTTTTTTTTTAAAGAAATTTGTAAAACAAAATGTTTTAAAATTGTTTTGGGAGTTATAAATTTGTGTTCGTCGCTCGCTCACTTGACTATTCCTTCTCACCGACGTCGTCTATTTCTTTTCGCCGCCGGCCACCGTAAAGCTTTAAAACGTCACCAAACAAAAAAAGATGCTAACTCTAACACACACTCTCTTCTCCTCCGCCACTTCCACCTCCTCATTCCCAACCCTTCACTGTCGCCTCAAACCCCACGTTCACTCTCTCAATTCTCATCGCTCTGCCCACCTCCCTACTCCTACTTCTCTCCAGCTCTTTAACCCTCTCAGGTTCATTATGTTTTACTTTCATACTCATTTGTGTAAACAGTTATTACATTGATTGAACTTGATCTGATTAGTTTATGGTTAAATTGAGGGATGTATTATATTTTTAGTGATCATGATTTGTTGAATTTTGTGGATTTCGCAGAACTGCTGTGGAAAATAGAGGTAATTTGGGGATGAAGCAGAAATGGAAACGAGGGTTTGGCCCTGTTTGCTATTCTCCTCCTCTTACCACGAGTAACCTTCAATGGATCTGCACAATATCTGCTGCGTAAGCTATGCTCCCTATTCTCTTTGCCTCTCATCGACGTAGTGAATTCGTTAATTCATTAAAGCTGTTACACATTTTGATTTTTAAGAGTTTTAGGTCAAAGATAGTACTTGCGACACTACACAATTGATTTGATTTACATATACCCCATAAAAATCTATTATTTAATCAAAACATTATTTTACTAAGTTAGATATGTTTGATTTTGATGGTTACTTACAACATAAACATATAATGCAATAGAAGCAGATTAAATAAAACAACCATCAAAATCTGACAAAATCGAATTCATGCAACAACTAGGGCTGATGTTTGAATGTATTATACAACGAAATATAAAAGCAAGATGCTATACAATACACAATTAACTATTATACAAGAATATTATTTTTATATCAAATGGGACCTGTCTTTTTTTTTTTTTTTACTGATATATTTTACCAAAAGGATTAATCAATTTCTCTACAGGGTTTTGATGTTTGCAAAAGGCACAGCAATTCAAAAATCATTTATTGTTCCTTTTTTTGCTCTACAAGCACCTGCAAGTCTTACATCTTGGATCAAGTAAGCTTGTTGTAGTCTTAACAATTTTATAAAACTATGTGTCTTGTCAAATGTTGCAATTTTACTTTCTATATTTTTTGTTTCAATTTAATTAGTTTCCTATTTGTTCTGCAATTTGCTTGCAGGGGCGAATATGGGATTTTGACAGCATTCTTGGCACTTTTAGTTCGCCTTTTCTTCAGTATACCTGGTATACCTACCACTCTACAAATAGATTTCCTTAACAAAAAAAACAAACAAAGAATTCATAGTACATATCAAATATGGAATCTCTTATATCCTTCATAGTTTTTACAAATTTGACCATATTGCCATTTATTTTAGGAAGAAATAAAGTAAGCACAACACACTTTCACAGTTAACGTGGTGATGAAATCCATTATATTGTTTTTTTTAATTTAAATACTTATTTTGTTCAGGGAAAAATATAGAGAAACATAACATACTTTCACCATTTTTATGGATTTGACCACTGAATTATTATTCTCTATCAACTTAGCCACCCAACTGTTATATAATAATTATGAGAAGAATAATTGCTTAGTGGCTAAATCGATAAAATGGTGAAAATACACTGTGCTTTTCAGTATTTTGTCCTTTTTCAAAATTGGATAACCTAGAAAAATGTTTTTTTTAAATGGTAAAAAAAGTATAATGGCTTAATCACAGAAAGCTAAATCGATAAAATGATGAAATGACATATTTTTCACTTTATTTTAATTCTATTTAGGAAACATAGGAAACTTACCTAAACATATCTAACAAGGTTACTTTATGCCACTTTATTCCATTTATTATTTTTAATTCCTTTGTCTTGTCTCTTCTTATAGGTGAACTTGAATTGCCATTTATAGCATTGCTAATGGTAATTGTGTTTCCTTTCCAACTTGCAAACTTAAGGTAATACATCACATCAACAAACTTTTTTTTTTTTCTTTTTTTCTTTTCTTCCTTTCCTCATTTAGGTCCCTATTGTCACACAAGACAAAACAAACTGTACTAGCCATGAACCCTGTCCTATGTAAAAATGGCAACATTAGTAATTTTGTAATGTGAATGTTTGTTATTGTAGAGGAAGACAAGAAGGGGTGGCTCTTTCTTTGATCATTGCAGCATTTCTTGCTTTCCAACATTTCACACGATTAGGCAACTTAAGAGGAGCATTTGACCAAGGATCAATCATTGCCACCTTAGCCATACTTTCTATTGTTGCTGTTCCAATCATGCTCTTAATATGAACAATCATTTTAAAAAAATGCTTGAACAATTATGTGTGATCGTTTGTATACTATTTCGAGTTAGATCTCAACAAGTTGTATCATTATAACTCCTACTTTTGTTTATTAAATGTACTTCAACTGCTTTTATAGTTTTTTGCATGTGTAAAGAATATTTGCTCCTGTTAATGAATATAATACTCAAAAGGGAGAATCCTTGTGATCTATGTGATATTGTTTATTCAACTTTAATCTTCACTTTATTTCTTTTTATTGGAGTTTTATACTTTCATCTTTTTTTCTTATTAAGTGATCATTGTACTTTTAGAACTACACCCAGTTATAGCATTGTACTTCCATATATCTGTTATCATTTTTTCAATAAATATTTTTATTCTAAACATGTATTTCCCTACAACAATTCTAAACCGAAATACGACTCATCTACAAATTTTATTCTGCTAATAATTGCAAGAAGTAACAAGTAGATAACCCAATAAATTACTTTTCTTTTTTCATTTTCTATAATTTTCCTACTACAACTAAAAGCCATTCTTAAACATGAAGTATGGCAATGATCTTATCTAAGAATAGGGGTTGCTTCAATTCGACATGTGACGAATTCCAGCCAAGTGAATTCCCATCTTGTTTCCTTAACTTGATGTTCATTTTTCTCTGTTTATAAATACAAGTAGAATAGTTATCATCAATGGAAGGAATAAGTTAGCAGCCATCATGGATGCTGAGTTGGGCTCCCCTGTTGGCTCTGATGACGTGTAACCTGGTTGATCTGAAGAAAAACCGCCCGGTTGAGTAGGTGTTGTAGGATACGGGTTGATTGGCGAACTTATTCTGCAAGTGGAAACATAAATTTGAAAGAGTGTTGTTAATAATTGAAAAATCTAATATAACACAGTTGAATGATCAGTGACATTGCAATGATGTGTTTTGCTTACGTGGGAGAGGTGGGTGGGGTTGGCATAGGAGGCGTTGGTGGAGTCATCATGCCTGATGATTTGGCTGCTGAGAAGCGACAACTTCCGGAACCTACAACAAATATTAAAATATTATTTAAAAAAATATATTTTTAAATATCATTTATCCATATAACACTAAAAAACAAATACGGTCTTACTTGGATCTGTGTTGGTAACTTGTGCAACTCCTCCAAAAGAGCAACTAGTTGGAGCCGGATTCTTTTGATAATACGCATTAAAAGCATACGAAGCATGATCCCGAACCGTGTTCGGGTTGTAACAACTCGAACCCGGTTGAATCGCTGAGCAGTCGGCTCCTCCATAGCCACAAGCATAATCAAGTGCTACTTGTAGAGAGGTTTCAGAAGCCGATGGACTTGCAATACACCATGATCCACTCGATGAACCCGATGGGCCTGTTGGGCCCGTTGGTCCAGATGGGCCTGTCGGGGCGGTTGGGACAGACGGACCCATCGGATTTGACGGGCCCATCGGGGATGTTGGAGTAGTTCCGGTTGGAGTAGTTGGAAATGGGGTGGGGTTGTTTGGTTGAAAGCCGGTTGGTGATGGTGGTGGTAAAGATGTGGGGTTTCCGGTGGGGGTGGTGGTGGTTGGCGGGAATGTGGTTGGGGAATCTGTGTTTGGAGTTCCGGTGGGAGTTGTCGGTTGAATGATGGGGATGTCATCTTGTTGAAGGAGGTGTCGCACTTTGTTATGCGAGATTGCTTCCAATGGAGGTTTCTCACCAAAGCTTGAATCTGAAGAAAAAAAAAACCCCAACAAAATCATTATAATTCTTTGCTTCTGCATGATATATTGCTTGCATAAACCTTATACAAAAGGTTCGGTTATTAATTAAAACTAAAAAAAAAAAATCATTTAATCATTACAATGACATCAATAGTTGATACCAACGTTTCATATTAGGATAAAAAGATGTAATGTTTTACTAGTGACATGTTTAATTGATTAAAATGTGTTTGTATAGTTAATTTGTCTTGAAACTGGAAAAAATTGTAAGATACTCGCATAAATTGATGAAAGAACAAAATACGGTTGCCTAAATTGGCAAGAAGGTGACACCATGAAATAATAAAATGTTCAATTTAATAAAATATGATTGCATGTTTCCTCTAGAAAATTACTTGTTACATATATTGATAAAATCAATAGTTGAGATATGTGATAAGTGTCAACTATGTAAAAGCTAATATTTAAGGATCTTAAAAGCATTACATAACGTACCAGTATCAATCAGTATCAACTTCTAATATAGTTTTGAGGTCTAAGGAAAATAAAATCTTAACCGATTTTTATATTTTGCAGACTGAAAATCATTCAAGTATGAAAATAATATATAAACGTCACCTGGAATGAGAAGAAGCGAAAGTACGAAGAACATCGAATACAAAACAACTCCTGGACCCATATCACCGAAAACGACTCGTATTGGTATTTTTTTTTTGTTTTTTGGAGAGGATATATAGAGCGTATATAATTGATGTTTATATTTCGGGTTTCAAAAAAGAAAGATAAGCAAATTTGTAGAGTGAAAGGAGGCATCTTTGGTAGCCTTAAATGGGTATTTGTATAATTGGGGAAGAATCAAAGGTTTCTTCTTGGTGAAAGAGGGGATGGAATATGAGAAAACTTGGCAAATGAGGCATTGGGTAGTTGGGAACTACAAGCAAGAAGAGGTGCCCAAATAGGTATCAAAAAATAAATGAATGATGATGTTGGGATCTTCTATTTGTAATTCGGGATCTAAAGATGTAACAATTAAAGGTTTTATTGTTTATAAATGATCAAGATAACAATGTATTAATTTGCTCATAGTAAAAATTGTAAAAGTACCGGATCAAACACATCGTGGGCTTACGTGGAAAATATGCAATAAAAAATATATATTTAACTCGACCTAACATATTAACTCCATCAAATTATTTAGACATAATTACACAAATCCTTTTAATGATTGATAGAAAATACAACTGCAATTCTTTTTGATGAATTTTTAACATGATTGGTTATTTTCAGGTTTTAAACGTACACTTTATATCATTTTATACCAACCACAAGGACCCATATGAGTGTTTTAAATATGAAAATGACAAGCAATGTTCATCATGTGTGTTTTTTAAACATGAAGGGACTAACCATTTTAAAAATTCCTTAAAAAGATTTACAATGATATTTTATCCTTACCACAAGGATGACCATTTGTATAATTTTGTCGATTATATAATATTTAACCATCAATGTTTTTATATATGTATTTTAGGTTTTGCTTTGTCTTTTGTAAACTTGAACCTTTTACTATTTCATGGGACTCTAAAGAGATCTAGAGAAAAGATTTTATTCTCGAGGTGCCCCATTTGAACCAAAATAAAAAGGGAAAATACCATATAAAATTAAAAGAAAAATTCATTGTGTACCAAAAGTAAAAGCCGCCGTTACTTTGTTCAGGTGTTTACGGGTAAAATTCTGTTTAAAGTTTTATTTTCCACGATACAAGAATTAAAATTGTTGCAATAATAATTTATTTTTTATATAATATTAAAGTGGTTTTATTTATATATATTTTTGGACTTACAACACAAATAACCCAAATTCTTTTTGTTATTGGACCAAGGTCGGTCTAAAAATATCCGAAGCAAGAGAAAAAATAAATTCATTTAAAGACGTAAATTTCACAAAATTCTATGAACTTATGAAAAATACTTACTCCAAAAACATATTATGACTAGAGTTGTATGAGATGTTGATTTTCTATTTCATGTCGTTTCTTCTTTTTGGTAGCTTTTGTTAATTTTCAACCTCCAAGTTCCGATGTGATATATGCCGAGTTTTAATGTGATGTATTTCTCATTCGGTCTTGATCTTCGCGTAATCGTTTTAATAACAATGAAACAAAATTGATTTCGTACAATATATGAGGTTTTGCTCATGAGACTATTTTTTAAAGGAAGAACATTAATTAGACAATAGTCTAAGAACAATACATGCAATAGAATTTTTAGGGCTCTACGAGAGATAAGTCATGGAAGATTACCCACCGTCTTAGGCCGGCCTGCATTGGAATAAATTATTTTTACTTTGGAAACAAAAGGTATATGAATTAATTTTTTTTTTAGAGCTAACGATATTGGAAGACTATGAGAACATATAATGGTTTTTATTCCAAAATAACCATGAATATCATGAATAAAAGATCCGATAATCTATTTTTCCAAAGTTAGCTCGCTATGGTGTTCTGGGTGACATTTGATTAATTTACTTTACATCCGATCAACATCATAAATTTGCTCGTGGATAATCTCGCTAAGCACCCACGAGCAACAATAAACTTGTAATTATCATAACACTCATATTTTTGGTCTAAAGGTTTTGAGCTTTTCGGTATTTTTTTTTCCAAATTTATTTAAATAAACATTTTAGAAGGGAAAATATAAAACAAAAGGTTTGTATGATGATTTGTAGGAAATATTTTTAGAAAGTTTGAATTTAACTATACTTTAAGTCTATGATCATATTTAGCTATGGTGTTTTGTATGTGAGGATTGGATGTTATTAAAGTTATATTAGTTAAATATGAGGTTGGGGAGAGTTTTAGTTAGATTTGGTGGTGTTTGGACTAGAATCTTAAGTATAGGGCTCATAATTCAAAACTTATAATCTCTCTCTCTCTCTCTCTCAAAAATATGAAGTTTGAGCTCTCCTTTGGTGATTTCTCTCCATTTTCATGTTGATTTGAAGGTTTCAAGCTCAATTGCTAAAGCTTTGGTCATTTCTCTTCGTAATCTAGCTTTTGAAGGTAAAAATCTTCTCAATTTCTTCTTTGTTAATGTTAGCGTTTGTGCAAAGTTCATAAAATATGTTTTTTCTTGTTTATAATAATTTATTTAGTTGAGTTTTTGTCAATGTTTCTCTTCCTAGTTCATTCCTCAAGCAATGATTGTAACGTTCCAAAACTCAAAACCATTTTTTTGTTTTTATATTAAATAAACCATCAATCAAACAAGTTCGTCAAACCATAAAGTATTTAGAGAGTATCCATAAACATCCCTAAAGTACACCAGAGTCAAATAAGCGGAAAATCACGGTGTATGTCTAATGTGATCATTCCGAGCTCTTCCCCTTGGAACCGAAAGTACCTAAAACATAAACTGAAAAACGTAAGTACAAAGTTTAGCGAGTCCCCCAAAATACCGCATTCCATACACATGTCAGCTCAAGACTGTACCGGGTCTATTTTACCCCAGGTCTATTTCACCCCGAGTCTATTTCAGCTAATATATCAGCCCAAGGCTGTACTGGGTCTATTTCAATCCTGGTCTATTGCAACTCATATGTTAACACAAGGTTGTACCAGGTCTATTTCACCCTCGAGTCTATTTCAACTCATATGTCAGCACAAGGCTATACCAAGTCTATTTCACCCCACAAACATATAGCAAACATGCCCACAAGCGAACAACACATGCAACAAGAGTCACAAAGACTACGAGCATATACAATCCTTAGTGTCCTACAATATAGTGAACAAACTCACCTCAGTCGGCTAATAATCAAATAGATGCTCGAGCTGCTGAACCGGAGAATCCCCACACTAATCAATCAAATAACACCTAATTAATAATTGAGTCACAAACCATAATGGGGACTTTAATCAACTAATCCCGACTCTTAGGGTAAAAGACCATTTTACCCTTCCCTCAATTGGCCTAATAGCCGTGGCCTAAACTTAATGGCACAAAAAGCCCAATAATGACCCAATTCCTAAAGACACTCAAGGCCCAATATAGGCCTAAATACATGAAGACCTAAGGCATAACAATGACCCAACACAGAAAAAGTGGTGGCCCAACAAGAGCCTAAAACCCTAGAGTGCAAAAGTGGCTCAAATTAAAAAGCCCAAATGGCCTCTGATGAGTACACTTAGCGTATAAGTTGTGTACGCCCAACGTACAACTTCGCGACCAAGGCCTTACGGGGTCTTAACTGCGTACGCTCAACGTACGCCTAACATACGCCCCTTAAACCAAAACTTCATTTAAGCTCTTAATGTCTTCAGTCCAACGTCCATTCTTCAGATCCAAACATTGGGGGATGTTTTAAACAATAAAGTTACCAACTTGATGCCTTTGCATGGATCAAATGGACTCAAACCCTAGGTTTTGCATCCTACTTCCACAAAATGAGCATTTACTTATGGATTGTTGAACATTAACCATCAAGATGCAAACTTTATGGACCAGGGACCTCAGAACATCAAGAGGAGCACTCATAACTTCTAGAGTGAAAAATTCCCACTAGTACTCATACATGGGACCAAAATGTTCTCAAAAAAGCCCTAGACTAGATCTAACACATAGATTCATCAAAATAGAAGCTTTATACCTTAATGAAGCTGAGAAATGAGAGTAGATTCTAAATCTACAAGCTCCAAATTGATCAATGCTCCTTCTATAAGTTTCTTCTTCTTCAAGGTTCACCAAACACCCATTAAAGCACATACAAAGGGTTAAATCTTTCTAAATGAGTTAGGGTTTTGAAATGAGGCTCAAAAGGGTTGTGAAGGCTGGAAAATGAGAGAACCTTGAAAATAAGGTAATTTAAATTCGGTCCAAACCCTAAAAATTAGAGTTTGTCGCCTGACTAGGTACGCTCAACGTTTACATACGTCCTCCACATTTTTCATTTAACACCATTATGGACCAATTTTGCAAACTATATTTATACCAAGGGTAAAAAAGAAAAATACCTTGAATCGGGTGTTACGATTATCCCCCACTTGAATTAGACTTCGTCCTCAAAGTTTGATGTCGCAAATAACTCGGGGTAATGCTCCCTCATCTCATCCTCAGTCTCCCATGTCCATTCAGAACCCTTTCGGCACTGCCACTGCACCTTCACAAGATCCACCACCTTGTTTCATAGAGTCTTCGCCCTCCGATCAAGAATCACCACTAGTCTCTCGATATAATTCAAGCGATCATCCACCTGAATATCCTCCAATGGAACCACTACAAAATCATCAAATAGACATTTATGTAGCTAAGAGGCATGAACATTGATATGGATCTGACTAAGCTCCTTCGACGAATCCAAAAGATACGTAACCCTGCCCACTCGGGCTAAGACTCAAACGGACCAATATACATGGGGCATTGCTTACCCTGCTTCCTGAATTCGATGACACCTTTCCAAGGTGACACCTTCGGGAGTGCCATATTCTAAACTTGAAACTCTAAGTCTGACCGACATCTATTTGCGTAACTCTTATGATGGCTATGTGCTGTCTAAAGTCTGCTGCGAACCTGCTGAATTAATTTCGTCGTTTTGAGTACTACCCTCGTACTCCCCATGACTCGCTGAATGACCTCACCCCAACATATTTGTAACGCCCCGTTCTTAAAGTATTTATTTATGAGTCCCTGAGATTTAAGAGGAAGGATAATTTTGGTCCTTTTATGGGAAATGGGTTTTATCCGAGAAGGTTTCGGTCTGGTGTATGTTGATAGAAGCATAGGGCTTCTCGCCACCCTTGTGTGAATGTAAAGTTTATCAGGAGCGGGTTTAGAGTAGAGGAGTTACAACATTTCGAAGATAATATCGATTGTGGCTCTTAATGGGAAAAGTGGAAACGGAAGACCAAGTATGAAGAAAAGGAGCATGCTGGGTACGCCCAACGTAGGCTGGGTTACGCCCAGCGTAATTGGGTAAATGAACGCGGGGGCAAGGTCGAGTACGCCTAGCGTACTAGAGGCTTTATAGAAATAAATATTGTTTTATATTTATACTATTTATACAAATAAATATTGTTTTATAGATTACTACTTCTTTTAATTAAAACTTTTTAATTTCTTTGATATCGGTATTTTAACTTGATAATTATATATGAATAAATATTATTTTTGATATATAATATTTATATATTAATAAATATTATTATATTGGATTATTAATTTATTCTAGTTAATTGTTTATTGGAGTAATTCTTTTTATTAGAGTAATTATTTTTTTATTGGATTAATGTATATTAATAAATATTATTTTTAACTTATAATATTTATATCCTAATAAATATTACATTATCAGATTATTAATTTCTTTTAGTTATTTTTTTAATTCATTTTTTGGAATAATTTATTTTTGTTGAAATATTACTTTTAATTTATTATTTTTTATATAATAAATATTATTTTGGTTGATTATTAGTTTATTAGTTTATTTTTAATGTATATTATTAATTCTTTTTGATTTTATTAGTTCTACCATAAAGTCGCTAGAATACGCGAAAGCGTTGCCTTTCATCATTAAAAATCATCAGGATCATCACAAACCATCGAAGGTCGTATAGAAACCCACCAACCTTTTACAACCAATGATGACGGTTTTGCGTATTCTGACAAATTTGTGGTGAAACTAAAATTAAAAAGAATAATATTATATAACATAAATAAATTAGTAACATAATAAATAATATTTATTACATAAAACAATAATAAATAAAAGTAATACTCCAATAAAAAATAATTAATCCAAAAAAAGAATTAAAAAAATTAAGTTACAAAAATTAATAATCTGATAATGTAATATTTATTAAAATATAAATATTATAAATTTAAAATAATATTTATTAATATATGATAGGCCAATAAAAAATAATTATTCTAATAAAAGAATTAACTAAAATAAATTAATAATCTAATATAATAATATTTATTAATATATTAAAAATAATATTTATTCGTATATACTTCTCCAAATAAAATATCCGATAATAAAGAAATTAAAAAATTAATTAAAAGAAATTAATACTAATAAAATAATATTTATTAATATATAAATAGTATATAATTATATATTAAAAATAACATTTATTAATATATAGTAATTTGGTAAAAATAAAAAGAAATTATGTATAAATGTTCATTGTGCAGAAATAGTCCTTGAGGATAAACTAGTTATTTTAAAAGAGTTAACAGCCAAATTGTTAAAGTTAACGGAAGAGAGACTAAAACCATAACAAAATTTGTTGAAAATGACTAAATCTACAAATTTTCAAATGTTTGGATTTTAACCACATAAAAAACCATATAGACCATTTTTAAAGTTTTTTTTTTCAAAGTACACATATAGTTTTGTTTAATAAAAATCAAGGTTCTAAAAAGTTCGCCATGGCACGTCACGGCTCCAAGGCTTGCACCTGCCGTTAAGCTTTGACAAAACGCCGCCTTAACTCATATATGTGTATAAAAATGAATAATAGTTGAAAATACATATAAAAATATTAGTTATATAGAAAATTAACATCTTAAGTCACGTCTTACAAACATCATGACTCACCAAGGTTCAGAAAAGCTTGAGGTTTGACATTGACACCAAATCACATCTTACGTTATTTAGAACGTTGATAAAAATAATGGAAAAATAAAAAAATAAGGTGTATATTAGTCTCTTACTCAGACTTAACTTCCGAGTCTTAACGACATCCAATAAAAGGGATCAACAGTGTAATTGTTTGAAATCACATAAACACAACCTATCAACTATTCAAAAGTTAGATCAAACATATTTCTGTAATTTTATAAGTTAGTTGATTAAAATTAAACAATGGGAAATATAATTAACCAAGTGAAAAATGAGTATCTTCAAGTCCCAATATAAGTTATTTATTTATTTATTTTTTCGAAAGGTAAATATAAATATATACTAAATTAATTATAAATTATTCCATCTATGTTAAACTACTTCTAAATTATTAACACCGGATAAAAGCCAAAGCCTTTGTAAGTCCCGATTATATAAGTAAAGTGTTTGTTGATACCTATTTTGGCCTTTTTTTAATGCACGTACTGCTAAAAGTTGGTCGTTGATGATCACAAAGCGTGCTGAGCACATTTCCTAAGCGCATTTTATATGAAAACAATGTTGCTTAAAGATTAAAAAATGTAAACGGTTTTTGAAGATTCCCAACAATAAACTTAAAATATCGTCCCATAACTCTTCGCATGTAACTCGTCCCATAACTCTTCGCATGTAACTCGTTCTCATCAATAATCGCAACAAATCGGAAAACACATACAAAATGCTAGCAAAATCATTCATGCTTGCGATACCATTATTGTTGTGGGTGCATGAGGCACGAGCCTCTCTAGCGAAGCCTGGTTGCCAGGAGAGATGTGGTAACATAACTGTCCCATATCCATATGGCATGGGGACCGGTTGTTTCTTGAACACATCATTTGCAGTCTCGTGCAATGAATCATCACCACACATTTCTCCTCTTCGGTTTGTAAATAATGATCAATTCCCAATTTCTGAAATCTCCATGGACTCCATACGTATAGTTGGTATGGTACCTTTCACATGTCTTAATTATACCGCAACAACCAAAGCAAGTGCTAAAAGATTTCAACTCGACCCACACTTTCGATATTCACATACAAAAAATGTCTACATAGCAGTGGGGTGTAACATATCTGCTAGTTTTCAAACAGTGAGTCCCTCGCATTTCAGAAAAGCTAGATGCGCTTCTCGTTGTATTGCAACCCCTACCAGTGGATTTTTCGCATGTAATGGCTCAAATGGTTGCTGCCAAAGTAGTATCCCAGTCGAAACCAATGCATATAAAGCTGTAATCTCCAATCATGGCCTCGAGGCCGCATGCAGTCATGCATTCATCGCTGAAAAGAACTATACTCTAGAAAAATATTTGTATGGCTATACAGAAAGTTCATACCAGTTTCCGGTGGTCTTAAATTGGGTTATAACACTAACCAGTTGCCACCGAACTCAACTAAGAGGAAGCTGTTTGTGTGGCAAGAACAGTCAGTGCATCGACTCAGCCAAAGGTCTGGGACATAACTGCCGCTGCAAGAATGGCTACGGAGGGAACCCTTACCTTCGCACTGGATGTCAAGGTAATTTTCGATTACAATATGTTATTGATCACACTTCAATCATGGAATCAAGCAATTAATATTGTCCATGTCCAAATCATATACTCCTTTAAGTACAATATAACATCGTAATTTAAATTCTCTAATATCATCATAAGGTTTAACCGGGTCTATGTTTTCTGGATCCTCAAAAATAGATATCAACGAGTGTCTTATTCCAGGCAACTATCCTTGTAGAGAGGATCAGCTTTGCGTTAATACACCTGGGAGCTACATGTGCACTTCCTCACGTCGCCACATATTAATTGTCTCAGGTAAACAACCCCTACATTCTCTCGTACAGATAGATTAAGAGAAATGAACTATCCTGCTCCCTTTTATTGATACCCATGTTAAAACATGACAAGTGTTACATTTAAAAAAATTAATAATATTTTAAAACACGTGATCACCTTTTAACATGGATAAAAGGACGAGTAGGAACAAAACTTTGGAAAATATTTAATATTTCATAGATTAACATGCACACACAAAGAAACAGACATATACATATTTGCAGACTAAACGTAACTTCATCATGCAGTTATTATTGTATCTGTGATTGGAATCTTTGGCTTTGGTGCTATTGGTCATTACGCATATAAGGAAATTGGCAGAAGAAAGGAAAATAAGATCAAACAGGAGTTCTTCAAAAGGAATGGTGGATATCTATTAAAGCAGCATATCTCTGCTAATAAATCACATGTAATGAGATTAAAAGTTTATGCTGCCGAAGAGATAGAGAAGGCTACGGACAGTTTTAGTCAAAGCCGGTTACTTGGAAAGGGGGGACAAGGTACAGTGTATAAGGGTTTCTTGACAGATGGAACCATTGTAGCCATAAAGAGGTCAAACGTAGTAGATGAAGACCAGGTAGAACGATTTGTTAATGAAGTTTTCATTCTTTCACAGATAAACCATAGGAATATAGTTAAGTTGTTAGGTTGTTGCTTGGAGTCTGAAGTCCCATTATTGGTATATGAGTATTTATCCAATGGCACCCTCTCACAACATCTTCATGATGGGGCAGAAGTTTCCAAATTTTCATGGAAAGATCGTATACGAGTGGCTAGGGATGTTGCAGGCGCACTAGCCTATTTGCACTCATATGCATCCCCAGCCATATTCCATAGGGATGTTAAGCCACATAACATCTTGTTGGATGAGAACTACAGAGCTGTAGTCTCTGACTTTGGACTTTCAAGGTCGATTTCTCTCAGCAGAACTCATCTAACTACAAAAATTGAAGGCACATTTGGATACTTGGATCCAGAGTACTTCCGGTCGGGGCAACTTACTGAAAAAAGTGATGTTTACGCCTTTGGTGTAGTGCTTATGGAGCTCTTAACCCGAAGAAAAGTTGTGTCCTCAACAAACTGTGGTGAAGGTCTGGTTTCACATTTCCAGTTCTTAGTCAAGCAGAACCGTGTGCTTGAAATTTTAGACCAGCAAGTTCTAGATGAAGCTCTGATGGATGATATATTTCTGGTCACTATGCTTGTTAAGACATGTATGAAAAAGAATGTGAAGGAAAGACAAAACATGAAAGAGGTGGTCATGGGTTTAGACAAATTAAAAGTAGTACAACTTGACCTTCCTAGTAACGGTTTATAATTGTAATTATGAATAAGCGTTTGTAATTGTAATTGTGATTATTGTGAATGTTAGAATTGTAGCTGTGAATATTGTGGATGTTAGAAATAAACGAGAATAACTCACACACAGACATACTAATATTTAACATAGTTCGTTCGGATGTTAGGTTTCTTTACTTTGGGCGGATTGGTATTTGATTTTGAATTATACCCTTCAATTTGATTGATTCAGGGGTAACTTGTAATTAGATAGGTTTCTTTACTTTGGGCGGATTGGTATTTGATTTTGAATTATACCCTTCAATTTGATTGATTCAGGGGTAACTTGTAATTAGAGAACAAGCATACAATTTGACATGGATAACTTTGTAATTAGAAAACCATTTTTGGAGGAAACAAGTATCCGGAAAGATAAAATCGAATTGGTGAAAAAATTGATTTAGGGGTTGTTGATAAAACATAACCATTTAGTGTATAATGACCCTTGTCTTTTAATGGTTATAAACAAGAGACATGGATAATTTTGTAATTAGAAAACCATTTTTTTGGAGGAAACAAATATGAGGAAAAAAGGCAAAATTCGAGTTTTGGAGCCCCAAAACAAACGCCTTCGTTTTCCCATGGGAGGAGCAAATGGTGATGAGTAAGGTGTCGATGGTGACGGGTGAGGTTTTCCCATGGGAGGAGCAAATGGTGATGAGTAAGGTGTCGATGGTGACGGGTGAGATGCTGATGGTGGGGCGAGCTGGTAGATCAGAGACACCTCCTTCTTTCTTTCTCTCCTTCCTCATTCATGTCAGGTGACACTAGATCTTATGAATCTGGGTCTTCTTCGAAATCATCTTCAAAATTTGGAGATTATAGGAAGCAGTGAGAGTTTTGAACATACTAGAAAGAATTTGGTGGGTGGGTTTGATGATGAAAAAAGATGAAGGATTGAGTAAAAGGTGTGTGTTTGTGTTTTGATTTGTAGGTGTGTGTGTGTGTGTAAAAGAGAGTAGAGAAAGGTGTGTGTTACCTGTGGAGTGAGAAGGTGGGATATGACTATTTTTTAATTAAAACATGTATTAACGTAAATATAGAAAAAAGAAAAAAGAAAATAAAAAGGTAAAACCGTCTTTTTCAAGTAGTCCAGGGACCAAAAACACACAAATTACTTGATTTTAAACGTTCCATGCAATTTGAAATTTTTTTGGACCCTATCTATAATTTTTTGAAAAGCATAAGGACCTATTTTGCAGTTTTGTCAAAAATATATGTATTCATCAGTGGTTTTCAAATGAATTTTGAAGGAGTGTTAATATGCTAATGCTATAAGAAAGCTAAAAACCAAGAAGGTCATGGCCTCCCTAGCCCCATAGTAATTCTACCATTGGGCCCTATTTATAATGAATGAAAACGAGTCCAACTGCAATACGTTTACTGGAAAAGGTAATTGTTCAAAATACCATTATTCCTAAAAATGCCTCTTATTTGAATTAAGTTAACAGTATGAAGTATAGATTCATTGGATATGAATTAAATATAACCAAACAGTGAGCAACGTTTAAATTGTGCATGATTTGGTGAGTTCATGATGAGTGTGAGAAACACATGTGGTAGGAAAGCACTACACAGTTTAATTACTTGCAAACGTCGAGTATGTTGTAAATTACATTTTAGTATGATACATAATTTACCATAATTTGGTGAATGATGTCTAAAGGTTATGCAAAAACTACCATCCATTCACCCCACTTTGAAATCTGTATGAAGTACGAACAAATAAGAGAGAGAGAGAGAGAGAGAGAGAGAGATTAGCTGATGTATTAAGAAAATTATAAACATATTTTTCAAACTTGTACGAGTGACGAGGCAAGCCATTTTGAACCTTAAAAGTGGCGGCTCATAATACGACGCGAAATCATGTGTGACTCGTTATCTGACTCGTTACTTGTTGTGTGACTCGTGTCGATTCTATATGTGTAACATCCTGTTATGGATAGTTTTGTGATTTAAGGCCAGTGGGCCTTAATCTGAGTATGAGAAGGATTTGAGGCTTTGAAAGAGAAATGTTTAGGCCCTTTTGGGATGTAGGTAAGGTAGGTTGTGTGATAAAAGAGTTCGGTTTGTGCTTTAGAGCCCAAATGTATTGCTAAAGGCGTTGGTTTGGGTTTTTCATGAATTTTGGATCTGAGTTCGAGTGGGCTTCAGGAGGAATAAAGTTGATATAAGTGTAGAGCTTCTCTTTACATTTTCTTGGATATAAGGATCGTCAGAAACGGATTTATAACGAAGCAGTTATGGCCTTCAAAAGTTTTGTGGTTTCAGGCTTAGCCGAGTATGCTGGGCTTACACAAAGCGTATGCTGGGAGTACTAGTGAAGAAGGATGTACGCTGGGCATACTTTGGAGTACGTTGGGCGTACGGACCAAGGGTGGTGACGAATGTTCTTCGGAGTACGCCGGGGTACCATATGTACGTTGGGCGTGCGCTGATTAGACCTGACCCCTATTTTAGGGTCTTGGACCCTATTTAAGCTCCTTATCTCATAACTTAACCCTAATATCTTCAGCCTCCATCCCTCTAAACCCTATAAATTGACCCTAAGCCTTCATTTGAGTGATTCTTGAGCATTTTAGGTGATTTAGCGAGTTTTTGGTGCATATTGTGGAAGAAGAAGTTCCTTGAGGAAGCATTGCTTGGCTTGGAGCTTGTGGATCCAAGCCCTAATCGGATTGATCTAGCTCTAGAAAGCATAAAGTTTGAATCTTGGTGGCTTTCTCATGTGGATCTCATGGGGTGACGACTTGTTATGTTTAGCCTTTAAAGAAGAAGGAGCATTGAAAGAAAATAGCTTGTGCATCTAGCTTTTGGATCTATGTTCTTCTCTTGTTGGTGCATCTTCTAGAGGTATCAAGTTTGAAACTTGCTTATTGTTGTGCTAGTTTTTGTTTTGAGTCCATTTTAGGGTTTTTGGTCCCAAATCTTGAAGCTTTATGAGTTGTTGAACTCCAAAGCCTAATATATCTCCCTTTAAGTGTTTCTAGTGGAGAGGATTCATAAAAATGAGGCCTTGGATGTTGGAACCACCTTATGCATAAGATTTGAGCATTTTTCAGAGTAAAGAGTAAGAGTTTTTGTGTTTGGGACTTGATCTTCCATGCAAAGGCTTAAAGTCATGAGCTTTATTATGTATGAGCCTTTATGGAGACCAGATCTAAGAGTATAGCTATGGTCTTAACGGATTAAGACCAAGGGAGTGGAGATAACAATCATGGACATACGTTGATCGTAATTCCGGTACGCCCTATGGACTGGCTGAGTGTCCTCGATGGCCAATCTGAATTCATGAGTACACTGAGCGTACCAAGGGAGGTACGCACCGCGTAACCTCACTGTGGACTTTTGGGCTGAGTCTCATCCTTGAGTGTTGGGCCTGGAGTTTGGGCTTGTTATAATAGAGTATTAGACTAGAGAATATATATATATATATATATATATATATATATATTCATGCTTCGACCCTTGGGTTGGGCTTGCCATTTAGTTTTGAGAGTGGGCCTCGAGTGAGCCCATTTATTATTGGGCCTTGGTGGGCCCACTGGGTTTTACGCTAATGATTGTCTGGTTAGTGGTCTTCCTTTAGATCTAATGAGTGAGATTCTGGACTTAGTTCCTAATTGGGTTAATTGTGATTTTGGCTCATAGATTAGAGGTCGGTGCATAGCAACAATATTTATAAGGGTTGTTCATCATCCGAGGTGAGTCTTCTCACTATACTTTACCTAGAGTGGTACTTATGCGTGACCGGAGGGTCTTATGTGCTTACATTGAGTATTATGTTATCCTGTTTTATGTTGTATGTTGTGCATTATGTCTTTGTAATTTATGCTATGCGGAGCTTTCCAGACCGGACCAGAGGGTCCAACGAGCCATGGGATTGGAGAGTTCCAACCAAACCGGACCGGAGGGTCCAATGAGCTGTGAGACCGGAGGGTCCTCACTTAGACCGGACCAGAGGGTCCAACAAGCTATGGGACTGGAGGGTCCCACTGAGACACATAGACTTGAGGGTCTTACAGAGTTATAGACTGGGGTGGCTAATGTGTTGTATGTGGTATTTTGGGGAACACACTAAGCTTCGTGCTTACCGTGTTATGTGTTATGTGTTTCAGGCTTGTCTCAGGATCGCAGGAAGGTACCGACTTGATTGTACACACCAGAGAAGGAGTTATGTTTTGAGGATCCTAGATTGTTATTAAATAATTATGGGGTTGTGTTTCGTAAATTAAATAAATGGGATTTTTGTGAAATGTATTATGAGAACTATGTGATTTTAAATGAAAATTTTGTGTGAAAATTTACGGTATTACAATATATGATTCGAGCGAGTCATATTTCCTTTGGGTACTTACGTAATTCATCAGATAATATGAATATCCATCGGTTAATAACTTTGCTTTTGGAGATGATGTTGGGATTAAGGAAGCATATGTCTTGTGGATAACATGGTTATCTGAAAGGTTATGACCTTTCTGTTGGGCAGGTAGAAACCATGATACTAGTGATAATATTTCAAGAAAGGGGTGGCTAATGTTTCTCAGGATCGCGGGAAGGCACCGACTTGATTGTACACACCAGAGAAGGAGTTATGTTTTGAGGATCCTAGATTATTATTAAATAATTATGGGGTTGTGTTTCGTAAATTAAATAAATGGGATTTTTGTGAAATGTATTATGAGAACTATGTGATTTTAAATGAAAATTTTGTGTGAAAATTTACGGTATTACAATATATGATTCGAGCGAGTCATATTTCCTTTGGGTACTTACGTAATTCATCAGGTAATATGAATATCCATCGGTTAATAACTTTTCTTTTGGAGATGATGTTGGGATTAAGGAAGCATATGTCTTATGGATAACATGGTTATCTGAAAGGTTATGACCTTTCTGTTGGGCAGGTAGAAACCATGATACTAGTGATAATATTTCAAGAAAGGAAAGTAAGATGAAGGGAGGAGATCAGTTTCATGA